TCTTGGGATGCGGGTGAGGCTTTCCTGGGAGAACGATGCTTGTGTCTACGTCGTCGTCTTCATCAGGTGGGGAGCGGACGATGGCCCGGGAGATATTCGCTGACGCTCCAGGATGGCGGATAGGTCAACTTCCGGCTCGACAATCTCCTCTCCTGCAGTCTCGCCATGAGCACTTCATGTGGCTATATGAGCACAAGGAGCTGGGCGGCACAGACCTTCAGAGTCAAGTTCAGGCTCGGGCTCGACATAGCGATCCGCGTTGGTGCCGAGCTGTCTGCGACCATACCTTTGCTCAAGTTCCCGCTCGTACTCCTTCTGTTCCTCCTCGTCCAGCTCAGCTGCATTCTCTCCTTCAAGCAGCAGGCGTTGGCCAAATGTTGCAGGACGGCCGCGTCCGCGACCACGTCCGCGGGCTCGCAGATACTTTCCTAATCCCCCGCGAGACTTGCCTCGGCCTCTTCCCCTGCCTCTTGGTGCCGCGGCTGACCCTTCTGCACTTTCTGACATCGTGGGCTGTATCACAAGCTGACAGCAAGCAGTTGAATTCGAGCGAAGAAAGAAGGGATAAACAAGAATGACAAGAGAGGAGAAGGGGATGGAGGCCGGAGCGCCGTGAGCTTGGCTTGACTTGCACCCTCACGATCACCGTCGGACACAGCGACGACGACGCGCATCACGACCCCTATGCTCCAGCGATGATGCAAACTGCCTCTTTCTATCAGCCTCCTCTGGCGGCCAAGCAGACCTCTTCGCTGATGGGCGACTCGACCCGCGCGTCCGTCAACCACCTTCTCGCAGGGGCGTACTCGACGCCCTGCTCGACCGCCGCGCACGCCTTCGTCCAGATCGTCCCACCTCTCTCTCGCTTCCAGCTCGCCCTTGACGTGTTGATGCCTATGCTCGATGCTTCTGTAGAAGTGAGTTACCCGTTTGTCGCCATCGTGTGTGGTGTGACGCGCGTGAGCTGACAGCGCGCGTAGCTGACCCAACGCATACTCGTTTCATATATATTGTACTCACTATACGCACCCCATCCGATCTCCCTTAATCCGTTCAATTCCGTACTCTATGCCACGTTTGTCAGGGAGCGCGACGCTGCTGTGCAGGTCGCCAGCGCAGGAGGCGTCAGCGAGAACGAACAGCTGGTCTGGGTCCTCTGGAAGATACTCAAGGGGGACGGCAGCGATGTGAGTGCCATTTCATCCTCGCGATGGCGAGCGGCGAGAGTTTATCTCATATAGATCGGACCATTCTCCCCGAACACATTGGCACGATCGCCCCTCCCGCCCAAGCTCAGGGCGGCGAACCTGAATCTCGAAGACGAGACCGTTGTAAGGCATCCGACAGAATCCACTGCGCGAGATGGTGCCAAGGACGCTGCTGGCTCTCTGGAACGCGATGAGGAGACCGAGAAGTACTCCCGCGCGGCCACGCTTTTGCTCGCTGCACGCGAGCGTGTCCTATCTCTTTCCGAGCAGCGCGTCAGTTTCCTCCATATCATTCATGCAGAAAATGTTCTGAAGTCAGCGCAATAGGTCGTGCTGTCTATGATGTCTCGGCTCACATCGCCCCCTCTCATAACCTCCGTCGATCTCCCGTCGATCCTAGCCACCAACCCCGCACTTGGACACCCACTGGTAGCGGCACTTCTCTGCTCGGCGAACGACACAGGCCCAGAACCGTTTCTCGATGTCATCAAGCGCCTTCCGCCCATCCTCCCGTCGTTCGATCTCATAGGCCGGCTGTTGCGCGACTCGACCGGCGTCGCGGATGTCACCACGGGAGGGCGGACGACGATCGCGGATCTCGTCCGGACAGAGGTCCTGGGCTGGTTCGTCCACGAATGCGTCGCATGGCTCGATCGCGCAGAGCAGGACGAGCGCGAAGGCAACATCAGCGACGACCGGTTTGCGAAGGGTGTTCAGAATGTATGTTTCCCCCGCCCTCCTGTCGAATGCCTCCGTTGTATCGCCTTGCGACTCACGTGCGGCATTCTCTCCACAGCTCTGTCGTTTTTATAACTCACTTATTAAGCTCGGGATCGTCGACCCGGCCTCGGACGCTGACTCTGCGGAGATGGCGCACTTCACCCTGCGCAACTCGCGGTTTGAGGAGGCGAACGCGCTGTACCGCGTTCTTGCCATGGGCAAATTTTGAACGAAGGCCCCGCATATGCCTGTTCTGCTCTGTATCATGATCAAGTACAGTCACCCAGCGTGATCGCGCCCATATGTAGCCCTCATCCTGTCCTTATCCGTGATGTCCTGTGCGGTCCCACCATCTTGTCTTGTCTGGATATGTATCCCGTCTGTCTGTTATCGTAACCACCACGGACTGGCCATACTGTACGGTTATCTCTTAAATCATCCAAGCACGGCATATTCCTTATGTTATGCGGTCACGGAAACTTACCAGTACTTATATGCAAGCCCCTGCCGATCCCCTGTGTAGTCTAGGTCGAGAGTAGGAACCATGTTTGATCATTCGATAGCGTACACGACATACGCATGATACCTCCCTATATGCATGTATGCGTTCCGCTACCATGTGTAGTACATAAGCTGGAGCCGACGCGCACCATGTACACACCTCGATTATGCTGCTGCACTCTAGCCCGTCCGCGTCTCTGTAGTGTACACTAATAAGGGTTCTCCCAACATCATAGAGCGAGAAGGATTGAGAAAATCACAAGCACGGCAGACAAGGACAGGAAGATCGGGAGAGGGGACGAGGGACGGGACGTGAGGGAAGACATGAGCGAGAGATGGTCGGCTAAAACTAGTAGATTCAGATTGGAAGGGGCGCAGACATCGAGGGCGATACAGGGCTGTAAGGCGACACTGTCGCGGATATAGATATAGGTGGGTAGAAGGTGAAGATGGCAACTCGAAATCGACTAGACAAGGGGGGAATATGTGGGTGTGAGCGCCGACGAAGACCCAGCACGACCGATGCGTCCGGCCGAAAGCCACGAAGAGAAAACCAGTGTCAAGAGGAAACAAAGGAAACTCATGACGCCTGCTTGTTACGGAAGCGGAGCAACGGCGCCAGTCCTGAGAGTGCGCAAGCCTTCTTCAAGAACTCGTGCTGCGACAAGTCGTCAATTATCGCGACCAGTGCGTGGAGTAGGCGGACGATACGTACCTCCAAGAGCTCGTCCGCAGTCGCTCGGCTCTTGACGTCGACGCACAAGCACACGCTCAAGAAGCCCTTGAGCTCCCGCGAGAGGGCGTCAGGCTTCTTGAGTGTCGGGGTACCATTCGTCGCGATGAGGTAGAGCGCCTTGAGCGGCTCCTCGTCAAGATATGGGGGCTCGTTCTCAATCATTTCGATGGCCATAATGCCCAGCGACCAAATGTCGACCTTGGCACCATACTCTTTTTGCTTGACGACTTCAGGCGCCATCCAGTACGGGGTGCCGACCATCGTCGCACGCTTCGACTTCTGGTCCGTGAGCTTCGCGCAGAACCCAAAATCGGCTGCAGAGAAAGTCAGTAGACGAACGCAACATGTGGTAGAGAATGATACGCACTGATCTTGACGTGGCCCTGGGCGTCGAGAAGAACATTGTCGGACTTGATGTCACGGTGAATGATGGATTGGCTGTGAAGGTGACCAAGACCCTTGCACGTCTAGGTTCCCGACGTCAGTCAGTTCGCATCCCCCAAATACACCCTCGAAGCACCACGCACCTCAAAGCAGATGCTCGCAATCTGGTCCTCCTCCAGCGTGTTATTCTCAATGATGTCCGTGAGCGCCCCTCCCTCCATGTACTCCATCACGACCCACAGCTCGTTGCTCTTCACGAGGTACGCGTCGAGGAAGTTGACGATGTTCGGATGCTGGCTCTCCTTCATCACCAGGATCTCGTTCACGATGAGCTCCTTCCGCGGCTGGTTCGACAGATCCATCTCCTTGATCGCCACCTTCTTCCCCGTCGCAAGCACCTTCGCCACATACACATGCCCAGACGCGCCCTGGCCGACCTTCCGGATCTTCGAGTAGAGCGCCTTCGGGTCGTCCGCGCTCACCACGCTCCGGAGCTTGTCCATGATCTGCGCCTCGTTCATCGTGCTGATCCGCTTCTCCTTCTCCACCTTCGGCTTCTCCAGCGCCGCCGCGGCCGCCGCGACGCTCCCATTCCGCTCATCGTCACCTGCCCCCGTAACCATGAGCGCGGGGGGTTCCTTCGGGCCGGTCGGCTTCTTTGCCGGCTGGAGGGGCTTGACGGGCGGGGGCCCAACGGTCGACCCGGCGGCCCCAGGAGCGGGCTGGGTAGCGGGCTGGTTGACGGCCGGCGCGGACTTGGCGGGTGCGAGGTTCGGTCGTTGCGACGACGCGCCCTGCCTGTCGAGCGAATCCTTGCGCTCTGGCTGCTGCATGAGCCCCGGCGGCTTCGTCGTCTGCGTCTGCGTAGGCGGACCTTGCGCCTTCGCGCGCAATCGGAGCTCCGCGGACGACGGTGAGTCCTCGGGCAGCGGGGGCTTCGGCAGGTTCGGGGCGGGCGGTGCGGGTCGGTTTGCGGAGAGGAGAGGGCGCTGTGGCGCCGGGCGCGATGCCTGGAGTTGGTTGGGGGCACCCATAGGAGGGATGGGCGGGCGCATGGCGGAGTTAGACTGTGCAGCGGAGACAGTGTTGGCATGTTGGAGGTGAGAGCTATTGACAACCTCAGCGGCCCGCGCAAGAGCAGCCTGAGTGCCGTTGACAGCATCCCCATTGAGGTGCGCTGGGGCCGAGTCTTGCCGCTTGATAGCAGGCCTGTCGTTCAACGGAGAGATCTTGTTGATTCCCGCACCGCCAAGGCCCGTACCAGCATTGAATCGCGGAGCACTGGAGGTATCATATGGCGAGAGAGTGGACGAAGACGCATAAGAACTACCGGTATTGCGATCATATGGCGAGAGGGTCGAAGAGGATGCATAGGAACTGCCGGCGCTTCGAGGACCACCGAGGGACGAGTAACCCATCTCCTCCATCTCGCGCTTCTGGTGATCGGTATAGAATTCGAGGACATCGAGCACGGCTTGCGGGTCCTTCGCATAGTCCTCTCGGGTAATGGCCGACTTGGTGAGCAGCTTGCTCCACGCATCCGGCAAGCCCTACGCTCTGATCTCAGTACAGTGTCCGTGAGCGACGAACAGACCACGCACCGTGAATGCCCCCGAGACGGGATCGAAGCCGACGTGAACTTTATGTTGGAAGTTGGTCGGATTACTCACACCCATCAGAGGGCTTCGTGAGTAGATGTCATCCTGCCACCCATACAGCTCCTCGTCGCTCTTGAGAGAGAAGTATATCCGCTTATCCTTCGTCTCTAAGAGCAAGCAGTAGGGCTTAAGGTCTGTCCGCTCAATGTTTGCGATGTCCGAGAGCGAGATCTGGCTCTGATACTGTGGCGAGGTCTGAGATATGTCCGGAATGGGTTAGCTACTGCCTCCGAGGTTGCGCAATAGAGAAGAAGCGATAGAAGCCCAATGAACAGTCGACGCAACCACGCGTGACCAATAGGACCGGCCTCCAGCGCACAGCTGGTATGGAATTGCCGATGTAAGGACAATGGACGACCCCCATATGTCAGAAAACACGCCATCCCCGAAACATAAGTAGGAGTACAAGGTGACACGCAACAGAATCTGTTCGGAACGCAGCACCCCGCAAAGGTCCTTCCCTGCCTTGGTTACGCGCTTTAGACCTATGCAAGAGCGATTACACAACGAGTAATCCGGAGCTATGTCCGCCGCATTCACCTGGACACTGGACGCTGGAATGCCTAGCATTCCCCGAGAATGATGCCACACCCACTGACTGCAGCATCAGATACACTTCGGGCAGCGATGCCATTTAATGCGGGGGCGCCGTCGAAAGTCGCTTCTCACCTAGGCTCGCCAGGGGCCTAACCCGTACCAGTTCAGTCCCAGAGCCGGCCCCTGGATGTGTGGGAGCACACAGAGGGGTGAAGTTGCGGTAGCATGGAAGAGACGCGAGAATCGAAGGCGAAGGTAGCACAGCACCCGCACCGTTTTCCCGCGTCTTCGACGACAGCCGCCTTCTGTTCTGCATTGCTCACTGCACTTATGTTCAGGTGCGGGGCAGTGAAGGCATCGGGCGCTCGGTAGGAGAACCTGGTCAGCGAAGCATGCGCCTAGAGGCGGTCATGCAGCGGCGAAGACACTTTCCGCGACCTCTCTGTGGTCACCCAGACACCCAGGAACGTCCGTGGCGATCACAGCGTACAGATATGAACGCGGGCGGGAGCGTGAACAAACTTATCGATGGTCGCGAACGGGCGTTGTGCCATCGCGAATGGAGAGTGTCGGCCCTCGACATTGCCCCTGCCTCAAGCTACCGCAGACCAGAAAAGCACGCGACAATGCGACGATAGCAACCTTGAAAGAGTTGCGGTTGACTCATCGAGGGTCGCGGACCGGTCCTTAGCACCGCCCGAGCTGATTGATCAGAGCGGAACCGAACGGCGTTCACAAGGCCCTCGACATGAAGGGAATGTCTGGAAGATGAAACGGCGGTGCTCACCTCGTTCTTGTGGATGGAAAGCGTCTGCTCTTTCAGCACGAGCCACTTGGGCCGCCAAAGCCAACTGACGATACCGTCCTCCTTGACCGCCACCATGCCACTCCGGACGATGTGTGAGCTGTTGATCATGTCCGAGTTGCGGTTGGGGGAACCGCCAATGCCGGTGTAACCCCCCGCGTAGGAGGAGCCGGAGGGGGACGAGGTGCCGACGGAGAAGGAGGAGGCGTAGCCCGAGCTGGCGAGCACGTTCTGGATATCGTTCCCGCGGCGGATGGGCGCGGCGGGGGCCGGGCGCGAGGGCGTGAGCGACGTGGAGGTGACCTGGTAGTGCGCCATGACGGGCAGTCGAGTTTATGCGGCCGGGTGTGCGGTCGGTGGGAGGGATCAAGATGGCAGTGGATCAGACCTTCAGGGTGCGCAGACGAGATCGCAGGGCGGGAGAGACACAGAGAGACGAGCCAGGGCGTTAGAGTGCGGGCGATTAGGGTGATTGTACAACAAGGGGGACGAGCGTACAGACACAGAGGTCGTGAGGGTCGTGCGCCGTCGGGCTTGTCGTGGGCGTCGGAGAGGACGTCGAGGGCGGGGTGGAGGATGTCGCTGGCCTTGTTTGCGGTTCTGCAAATGCTCCCAGCCGAATCCGGATTTGGTCCTCGCTGGGTGACCAATCCTCGGATCTACCCGACGCCCTATTGTCACGGCAACCATTCCGGGCCTCTATCCCGGCCTCCTACTACCCACAAAACATATTACCTCTCGTCTTGTACTCGACATGACGATGAGTGCCCAACAGTATAACACAAACCATATGTCAGCTCATGTATTCATCGAGAGAGACGTCTGACCGCGAAAATACTTAGCAGCATTGCTCGGATAGAAGAGATCTGTTGTCGAAGACTGATGGACCAATCACCCTTCCTGTGCATGCTATGCGATGCATACCAACCACAGCATCACGCGAGGTCAGCGTTCACAATAATGATACGTCGGTTGGAGTCATCACCAACAGAGCGTTGCGATCGATGTACCTAGAACCCGAAGACCGAGGTAGAACAGCCTCCACATCTGACAAGTGACAGTAAGAGAAAAACGACCTATCGCAAGGCCTGCTCATGACACATACAGTCATTAACGGGTCCTCGGGACACTGCGTGTTTTCTGACCCTCCCTGTATCCTACTGCCTCAGGTCTTTGTACATACCATTACAGCCTTCTTACAGCTCACCTCTCCTCGAATTTCATCAGAGGCGACCCAGAAGCAAAGTCACCAGCCCCATTTCTGTACGAGATTTACACGAAAATTGAATCTGGGACTGATTCCCGCCCAAATCTATACTCATCGTGCGCATGGGCGTGCCCCGTTTTTGTTTTCCAACAAGGCGACATATCTCCTACTCATAGCAACTTCATATCGTGTGATTTTATCGAGCTCAGATAGTCATCGAAACAGTGTGGAAGGGTAGTCTTTCGCTCGAGCGATTGGGTAGTTAGATGTCCATTTACCATATACGAACTCGGCTATCCTCGGCAACAGCAATTTCGATCCATACGAGAGAATTAAGCTCTATGCACGCTATACATACTCGGGCAGGACGGAAAACGATGGTATTGGACGCGCGCTACGGAAGCTGCGCGGGACCACCGAGTCCGTGTCGCCACCGCTCTCTCGCGCGACCGGTGGGCCGAGTTCAAGCCGGCGGAAGGCGAATGTACCTGATACATGAGAGGTAGCTAAGCGAAATAAAAAAAATGGGGCAGCGGAAGGGCGGGTGCAAAAATGAAAGCTCGAGGAGCGCGAGCTCCCGAAGGGCGAGGGGACGAGGATCCTGGGCTGCGAGCCCTTAACCTATATACTACTAGAGGCAAAGCAGATGTAAAGCGGCGAGGGGGTGGCACGATTTACGCTGTCATAGACCCTGGACAATATCATTATTAGCCCCGGTCAGAATTGAGCGTATCTCGTAGCCGCCCGTATTTTGTACATCCGTATTTTGAGTCACGTCACCCAAGCCGCCTGCGTGTTTGTTACTACCAGTTTGTCACACCCCATTGCCACCAAGTCGCGCACGACCGCACCACCGCGCGCGCATCTGCATATTTATGCGTCTCTCGAAACCACAGTGTACTTCACCACAAGAGCAGTTTTGTCATTAGAAATGTCTGAGACTCCCTTTGGTTCACCTTGAGCTGAATTTGTTGGGGTCGCGAGCCTCCTTCGAGCCATGTTATTGCTTGCGCACACCTTACCAGCGCGGGCTCGGTGCAGCCGCAGTAAGATATCTCCTATCGTCACCCTCATGTGGTTCAACTAGCAGGCTCAAGTTGGGTGGCTATGGCAATGTGTAATGTCAGATTAGCCGCCTTGAACTTTTGCTTGTGCTGCTGCACCCGCGAGCCCCTTACACTCGCAACATCTGGATAGTTCATACAGTCCACTGAAACAATGTGCAAGAAACGCGAGTAGCGGTACACAAAAGTCTGATATCATATCACTAGTGTGCGCGAAGGCCCCAACGAGTGTCGTTGCGTGGGTTGTGACGTACAGGTGACAAGCGCTCAGGCGGTTTGGGTGACATGACTCAAGATACGGACGCATGAAATACGGGCGGCTACGAGATACGCTCAATTCTGACCGGGGCTATTGTCCAAAACAGCTGTCCCTCGGAGGACCAAGAGACGCGCGATAAGAAAAATTTGGGACGATTGTCCCCGATCCCTCTCACACATAGTTGAATTACCACGAAACTTGAGCATACAGTGACTGCCGAAAATAGTGCACCGGCGCTTCGCGCGAATGAAATCTCTGTACGACGGACGACCTGTGCTATGTTTTGGGCTGCTTATTGTACATCTATGTAGCCACACAAGTCTTGATATCATGCAAAGACTCTCACGACAAACGGCGCAGGATTGCTCAGGTTATTTGAGTGACATTGGACAGACCCCAAGTTAGGGGTACATATCAAGGTGGTAATGAGCAACGAAAGTTAACCGTAAGTCTACAAAATCTCGAATCTGAGCCTACATCTGGAAAAACAGCCTTTGCGAATTGACACTAATTATCACTATTCAGATAATCTCATCTATATTAGCAAGTGTTAGCAGAGATGACATCTACATTAGAGCTACTATTCAGACGCACTTCTTCAGTAGTGCAACTAAGCACTAATTAGTATACTTGGTACTAGTTATAACTACTCTTCACTATCTCTTTTTCTATAGTGCCATGTAGTGCCAACATGATACTACTATAGCACTACTGCAAATGCGGTCCTCTAATTTTCGCTATTTTGCACTACTGTAGTACTATTTTGCGCTATTTTAGCACTACTCATTTAGGAGAGACTCAAATAAGATGACAATCCTTTATTTATAGCTCATAGTTCTCAACTCAAGCATTACACACCTCTATAGCTGCAAAATCACCATAATAGCTGACTTATATTTGAGGGCACAACTCAACATAG